CGTTAGAAAATATCAATAGAAAAATACTCTTTCTGAATAATTTTTACAACGTCATTATAATAGATATATAATTTTGGCGGACACCTCTCGATCAGGCCGGCGGGGATATCTCTATAAACAAAACGTTGAGCCATTTTTGCCAACATTGCGTACACCTCTACTAAATATATCATTATCAATATTAAATATTATTATCTTTGTAGCAGAGTGCACGATTCTCTTCATTTTTGCAAACATATTAAATATAATATTGAAAGATTTGTAATCCTTAAAAAGTATCAAGATATATAATAATAATAATAATAATAGTAGTAGTTATGGTACTGTACGTTCGTGGTTCAAACTGTGTCTGGTGGTACGTGGCTATTGCTGATTGCGGGATGATAATGCCTAACTAACTCAAACCCAACGGCACGATGCCTGCAGTTGGCATCTGCAGGAAGACCGCAGCAAAAGATCCGGATCGAACGATCAAACGATCGACGACCGGATCCGTCACTATGAGAAACTAAATCGCCCGGAATATGATGCCGGGACGACAGGTTCATCGGCTGACAACTGAAACTGACGCCTTCCCCGTCGTCACTATTCATATCCCGAACTAGGAAACATAACGAGATCAGCCTTAACGAGAACGAATAACCAGCAGTAAATCATTATATTAACAAATCGCTATGTCTTACTTAGTTATAATTAGTAACATGAGGGTTTGTAGAGTGGCGGGCGCTTCAACTGAAAACCATTCATTTTATTATAGCATTGTTATAATATGTATCAATATAATTATTATGTACGTAATGGGTTCCTACAAACTAGTCATGTTCTATACCATGGATTATAAGAGCGACTTAGCGTAACAATATAATTTATTTATAACCTTAGATTTGCGATCGGGGCCCTTCTTTAACTAAATCAAAATACAGTGGGCGGCGGGAGCTCGGCCGAATGCTTTGGTGGGGCGTTAAGTTCTATTTAGGGCCCTTTTTGTATTTTTTTTTTTTCGTAAAAAATCAACATTTTTGAAGGCACTTTAGATCGGACGATTTGGCCCAGTGTGTTTTTTGAATGAGTGATTGCCTAGTTCCAAAGATTATTTTGAATGATCTGTAGTTTTTTCAGTTAATATTTTATTTGGTTGCCTTCATACTATTGCAGAACGGATTTGGATGTGGTCAGAGTCTAAATGGCTATTTCAGAATTGAGAGCAATCGGCCGATCGTCCGCTCATTCCCAAAACTAGAATGTGAGTAGTCGGATCGGAAACAAATTTACGTGATGGTTGAGGGCGTCTGTCAATCATAAGACGGCCCGCGGGCAACGGAAATCAACACCTGATAACACAAGAAAAAAACAACGCGGCGAAGGGGCCACGACCGCATGGAGTATACCAACAATTGTACATATACTACATCCCACACTCAAGAATTATTATATGATACTCTAAGACTAATATGTTTATGTAGCTTTATCGTATTGGACTAGAAGGGGGTAAGGTAAATGATGGGTTGGCAAAGATGCTGGAGGTCATTGTCAGTGGAAATTTTGGAATGCTGCAGGATTTGGGGATTTGGGAAATTTGGGATGGGGTCATGGAGAGGAGCGCGGCATTGCAGCCGCATGTGACGGTCACTGCTTAGTGGAAGCAACCCTTTATAGGCGAATCAACGAATAACCGAATGTGCTCAGACTTGTTTGAAAATAATACAATCCGAACGCTTTGAGAATCGTTTTCCTCTACAGCAAATAATCACACTAGATAGGATTTCCTTTTTGTATAAGAAAATAGAATATAAGGCAGATTTTGGTAAAAATTACACACAATTACATTATTTTTGCTCAATTTTTTTTTAATAAGATAAGGCGCGAAGGTGCTTCAAATAAGCTTGTACTTTTTTCGTGATATTTTTTTAGACCGGGGTTCCTAAACTTGGCCGAGAACATGTTCATCTGTAAACTATACGGTTTGAATATTATCATTATACTGTAAATCATCAGAAGTAAAATTATCCGACGCCTGTCTGACGACGGATTCCGAGAGAGCTGTCTGAATGCTGTGTGCAAAACAAAAACTCGCGAACCGAAAAGAGATCGTAACGTAACGAAGCTCCAAAAATGTCCGGTAAAATGTTTCAAAAATCAATTCAAGTGATCATCATATGAAAGATCATCATCGAATGCACATCGAGATACAAAACGCTGTAGTAAGAAATCAACCCGAGATTAACATTGTGTGGGCGGTTGTGTGTGGCGGCTGAATTGTGACCGGTTGGATGAACCCAACAGAAAGAAACAGTCCTCACCATCCATGTCTGCCTGTTCGCGAACGTATTCCGAACAGCTGATTGAGCCCGCCTGGTCGGATACTCCAGGAGCGCACGGATCGTGCCTTGCCCCCCCGAATTGTTGGGGGCAGCGCCCGTCCGTGCGCCCCGCGAAGGATCGCTGAACCGGTGCGCGGCTCTCGTCTTAACTTTGAGATGATCGACAACGGATCATCGTCGTGACTTCTTGTTCTTTTGGAGAGCTTTAAAACGGATGCTCTCTCGGCGATTAAGGGGCGTTCGATTAACGGCCCCTTCGCCGAATTTGACGTCATCTGTGTCCCTGACAAGATGGCGGTTCTGTGTGTTTGTATGTGTTTTGTTGTGTGTGAGGAGGGGTGCAGGTTGAGATCGCGGACCGCTTGTGGGCTCGCGATAGAGATACTACGACGCGTTTTTGCGATAACGCGCCTGAGGCTATTGCTGAGGATGTAAAAACCATTTGATTAGTGTAAACTGTAACGACGCGACGTCTGGACTCTGCGACTATCAGAGACCTTGTATTACGGGATTATTTATTTGGGAGATCATTTAGTTAATGGGAAACGGGAGTAAATATGTACGGAACTGAACCTGGCATTGAATAGTCCTGACATCTGAATACTTTATATATTTCCCTGTGAAAAACTTTTTGTAAACACTTATAAAATTCTTCTAAGTTGCATTGTTTGTATCGGCGCTGTTGCAAGTTCCAAATGGGATTTACCGATCCAAAATGACTTGTGTTTAATTGCAAGGAAATATTTATGCTGGACCAGTTATAGTCACTATCGATAAAAATTGAATTTAGTTCAATATTCCGGCAGATCAAATTTGAACAAAAATTGATTAAATAATTATTGTATTAAGATAACGTAAATAAAATTGAAAATTAAATCATCAAAACAAAAATATGTAATAAATCTATTATAAAATATAAGAATTATTTAATGTTTAAAAAAATAATAAAAAAGATATAATTATTATAAAATCAAAGTAAATAACCTATAAAATAATAAAAAACATAGATATATAAATAAATAAAAACATAATTTAAATAAAAAATTATTTATATTTATATGCTGATTATAATCAACAATCCTGTTTCTATTTCAAATCATATAATAATTTTTTAATTTCATTTATATCTCATGAAAGTTTTCTTTAACTAATAATATATGTGCAACGTGTTATAACTGTTCCATCACAAACTTATTCTATAACCTATGCACATTATTTCATGGTTCTTTGAAATATCACTACTTTGTACTAGTCTCCTAGAAATAAATTTAGATTTTCGTTCGTGTACAAAATAACAATACGACAAAAATCTAAAATTACTTCATTTATCTTGAAGATAGTACGATAAGATCCTTATGCAAATAAACATTTTTTTATATAATAATTCATATAAACAGTATTTTAAATTTATTCTTTCATATTTTATTGATACGAACGAGGCGTGGAGATTTTGACTAGGAAACTCACCACAAATGTGCCGTGCTCAAAACTTAATTATTATAAGATTTTGAGCACAAAATTAGTGTTTGCAACTACGCTATACAGTGCATTGTGAAATAATAATAGCTATAATATAATTTATATTAATTACCTAAACCTTTTTTGCGTTTTGTGTAAAACATATAATTAAAAATCATACTAGTATCAATAAAATCATTCAATTAAATAATAATTCATACGGTTATTTAATTTATGATGACGACCAAAGTTTTAGAGTGTTGAGTCAACCATCGTACCGATCGATTTTGATTATGTTTGTGGTATTGAGATCTGTCGGTTACCGCGTTGGCACTATTGCAAATAAAATATCCTGTATAATCAGTTAAAAAATAACATAAGTTGTACGGCTCTGTAACTGAAATATAATTATTATTAATATTCTGTAGAGTGAGATATGGAGATGCAAACATAATCTCAATTGAATTAGTACAAAGGTTTTAAAGGGACTCGACAGTCTACGACTGAGGTCGACATACGCGGACTAGTAATTCAAATTTACCTTTGGTTCTTCAGCATTATTAACACAAAGCGTTAACCATCCTCATCGGTATATATATTATTATTAAATATAATTGCTATAGATATGGGCCGTCTTTGAAATAGTGGCTATTTTGTATGTACAGTTACATCGCCGAACGAGGATCCGATCAAGATCCTTTTTGAGCCTCTCGGCCTATTTGTACAATGAGAGGCTCCTAATATGTGCAGCGGATTTGGTATCAGACCCTCGGCCGACTCTAATTGTTAAGTTCTAGGGTCTATGGTACAGTTTTATTAGATCGACATGTGGGGGGCCGCGTACAGTTTACACAATAAATAATAAATTCGTGCGAATCGTCTCGATTCGAATGCAAACCAAAGAGAGATACACACAGAAAAAGCAACCTGGTTTGTCTGGTAGTTTTGTTTTAGAACTTTTCTTTATATAATATATATTACTTTATTATTTTCTCTTTTAAATAGTGACGATAATTTTAATTTTAAAATTTTACGCTTTTATATTTACTTTTTAGATTTATTTTTGAACTGAAGGCCTAAATATCGTCGAAATGATTGGTGTGTAAAATCCGTTTGGAATTTCACATTCCCTTGTTAGGAACACTTGGTTACTTTTGAGCCCTTTTGAGGGCACTGTGCATGTGAGGGCAGTGACATCAAATGATTTCTTGACGAGCGGTTTTACTCCAATTGTTCCAGGAAGTTTGGAGATTTGAAGTATTCAGGAACCGGATCGTCCAGTCGGGAAATGATCTTGTAGATCGATTTTTTCCACGACTGTTCCGTATCTTTACCGCCCTGTATCGCTTTGAAGAATTCTCGTAACGTTTGCTCCACTACGTAACGGAAGTTTGATGGAACCTGGAGAAACAAAATAATATTAATGATAACGATTCGACAAATATACAAAATTTTTCATCTTATAAAAATACAATATTATTAAGAAATTATAAAATGGCGCATGCCATGCCACAATACAAGACAACAGCAAAGGTGAAAAAAGGAGAAGGAATAACTTTTAATTAAAAAAATTTTAATTTATATTGTTTTAAAAATGATATTGAATCACGAAATAGATAATTAACCAGTAACAAAAAAATATGATATAGGATTTTTTTTCGGAAGGAATTGTAAGGGAAAGGTAAGCAAGCTATTTTTGCTAGTGTCATTTTGTGCAATGTGGCTGGGGTCGCACCTGAGGTCCCCATACCTCTATGTGGTTGTTCCGGTTGTAATGAAGATTTAGAACTCTATAAATTTCGCTGTCGCCTCCAACTTGCAATTCATCAGCATTTTTGACACCTTCGCTTACTGCCTGCCGAGCATACTTCTCCATTTGAATGTAATAGAATTCCCTGTAACAAAACAGAAAAATTAGTTATGGATTATTGAAAATACAACTATAATCAAATATTTCAACAATACAAAGTAAGTAACAGTGCATTTTATATATCCAATATATTTTTTGTACATCTTCTAAGCAAAATCTTTTAATTGGCAGAGTCCAATTATTAAAACCGATTAATAATTACCAACATTTTCTTTCTGCACGGTTGTGCATAAAATGCGCGTTTCTTTATTTATTCTTTGCCAAGTTTCATAACCTGGTTTTATTCATTAATTACAAAGGAGTGTATCATTTGTTTGCGGGATTTTTGTTTCGTTCTCGAGAGGAGGAACAAAACATTTTGCGGGGGCAAAAAACTCACAGGAAAAAATATGAGAAAGAGTAAAGGATGTTAAAGAATTCATTATTAGAATGAATTTTTGAAAATATTAGAATTTTATCTTTTATCATTTTTTAAAGAATTCACATTTAATAGTAAACAAAATAATTCAAAATAACGAAACAAAATATCTATTTAATTTTATTATGTAAATTATGATTTTTATAATTCGAAAACAAACACTGTATCTGCATTAACAGTCTCGCTTTCATTTTCTATTATTATTCATTTGTGTTTCAATTACCGCGAAAATAAAACTATGATGTTTTTTCCAATACGCATAATGATTAATTTTTATCATCATTAAATAAATTGAATATCATTATTGTGCAAGTTGAAGGCCAGCTACGAAGTTCATTGAATTAAATTTGAATCGGTGTCATTGATTGGCATTATACAAATATATACATATATCTGCGTTGAGCTGCATTTATGAACACGATTTTGCAAATCGGTTAAATGTTAATGTAGGCCGTTTAATTATATCATTTACATGTTGATACATTATAACCAATTAACTCGCATCGAACATAAAATAATAGATACAACAAATTATGACAATCACTTTTAATGTTAATGGCCATTTACGGGGGCAATATCTGTACTGTTTATTTGACTGTGCAGCGATCATCGTGCCTATTTCAGATTAATTGCACAAATCGGTGTGCGTTCACTATTAAATGGAAATTAAACATTTTTAGAATTGAAATATTTCAATTATATAAATCACCTATATTCTATTATATAAAATGATATATTTTCTGATACGTCAAATATTTCCTCTTCCAGTTTCGACCGATTCGGCTAAGAAGCATTTGCATATTCAATGTTGTAATTTATTTTTCCGTTTATATAAAAAAGAAACAACCCCTTTGCATAATGAAGGCAACGCAAATAAGAGTTGTTAATGAAAGGAATATGAATGTGTAACGCCGAACGCATAGTTAAAGGAAGGGCTCAGAGAGCTTTGATGCACCCGCTGTTGCATTCGCTCGAAATAAAGGTGCAATTTGGTAATTTTAAATTGAATAAGATGTTGATACAATTAATTAAGATTGTATTTATTTAATTAATTTAATTGTTGAATAAGTAAATTTATGTAAAATATTTGAAGTGTAAAAATGACGCAAGAACAGTACTCAATAGGTAGCTAAAATGCATAATTACCTTACCTTGGGGTAAGTTATAGTAATAGGCCAAAAATCGAAAATGAAAATTTTTGCATATCTTCAAGTTTTGAAGGTTTCTGAATATTTTGGCATACCTCAGAAAAAATGAATGTGTATGTGTATGTGTGGATAAAATTTTTCGTCAACGTTTTCGGGAGCACCGCTCAACCGATTTGAATGATTGAAAAAGCAATCGATTTTCTACTGATAGGGAGAAGTGTTGATTAGTTTTTGAGAAAGACAGGTCCAGTAGTTTCGGAGATACACAGCAGAGTGTAGAAAAAACAGAAATCGAGTATTTGAGAGAACAGAGCATCCGATTTGAATGATCCAAAAAACATTCCAATTGTAATAGTGAAGAGAAGTGGTAATTAGTTTTTGATGAAGGCAGTTCCAGTCGTTTCGGAGATAAGGAACTACATGTGCAAAAAATGGCAGTTTTTGAAAGAATTAAGCATCCGATTTCATTGATTAAAAAAATGTTCTGCTTAACGGAACGATTGCTTTTAGTAAAAGATTATTTTTTTTAAAATTCACAAAAATATTTTATATTAACTCTTATATTTTGTTATAGTTAGAATAATGAAAGTATTTATAATAATCTATTTGAGAACATTTAATATTCCTCGAATATTTCATTACGGTACGGAAAGTTTCAGCAATTTGCCTTAAGGCATCCCATCGACCATTAGTTTATATTAATTAAAATTATGATTATATTTAAAATTTATCTAGTTATTAAAATAACTAATATAACTTGAGCGTTAATTTGCCCTAGGGCAGTTTTAATACCAAGGTGTACAAAAAATCGACTTAATTAGTAAGAATTGAAAATTAGCAACTTTTCAAATTGGGACGATAAAAATTCAAAATTTTGTCACTTTTCACTATTCCAAGTTTTTAGCGATTTTTCATAATTTTGTATGAGTATGAGGAGATCTAACATTACCCAAAATATCATCAGAAAAATCAAAACTTTTAACAATTAATTACGAAGAAATGGCCCGACTGATCTTTAACTTTTGATTTTTTGGTTCACGATTCTTGGAGAAAATTTTGAATGAATAGCCGATAAAATATCTACCAAATTAGGCATTACCCTGCGGCTTATATGATAAATGTATAAGAAAGAGAAATAGTTCATGGACAGATGTGCAACGACGGATGGCCGTTGCAAAAATGTATGTCAAACGCTTAGTACCGCTCATATCTTGAATTTCGAATCCTAAATAATAGAAAAATTGTTAGGGGAAACTTCAAATCATACCGGGTAGCTTGCACCATTGTTCAAACATCATGAGGGTAGGTTATAGCACATAGCTCATATTCAATTTAGGGTGAGTTTGCGTATCAAGGGTTAGATTTTGTGACTGTTAGAAGATATAATAGTGTTGAATGTGATTTCCTAGACTTTTCGAAGTCGGTTAATTTTTTTTTCGACAAGTCGTAGAAGTTAACGATAAGAAATCGTCAAGCAAGTTGACTCGGGAGCGTCGTGAGAAAGTTTAACGAATTTTTTCCCAGATTGATTTTATCGTGTGAGAAGATATTGCGGAAATTGATTCACTGCAATTTTTGGAAAAAAATCTGATCTTGTAAAAATAGAGTTTTCTGATGTTTCTGACAATGATGTGAATACGATTTGTTTTTTAAGAAAATGTTTATCATTTTTAGTTTAGGGGGTATAGTACCTTTAAATATTGTTACATTTACTAAAATTATGTTCACATTTCCAAAGGCAAATCATAAAAAATTCCTCTCTCAATTTTTAAAATAACTGAATTATTGACCAAACGTATTCAAAAATTTAATTTTTTTTATTGAATTTAGGTAAACACAAGACTTCTGAAAAAAAAATTTAAATAATATTTAAATTAATTAAATAATAAATTATTTAAATTAAGCTGGTCAAAAATTCCAAAATTTGATACAACATAGTTTTTTTAGGAAGTCATATCTATTTTAAATCTTAACTTTTGCTGATAAGTCGGTTTAATGTAATTTAGATCCTTTAAATTTTATTTCAAACACAGAAAGCTAGGAGTTTTTTGACTCCACATTTGGAATATAAGATTCCAATTACAAGTATATGAGAATGCTCAAAAAATAAAAATAAAAAAAAATAAAAATATAATCAAAGTCTGTTTTAATATTTATGTTTTAAATGAGTTTCTAGCGTTTGTATTATAATAATATTTGAAAACTTTTACAAGTATTTAAAAAACTATCCTAAAGTAAATTTTTATTGGGCATACGTAAGTATTCAGAGATAATTATTTAGTTAAAAGTTTCCTAGTCTACTTCTACCTATATAAGATCATATCGGATCGTCAATTCCTAACAACATTGGTATGTTATACATATATATTTTACCCGCATATTTTTCGTGGAAAACCTTTAGAATACAAATAACTGTCGCGGTTATCGACCTGATTCTCTCAATAATGCACGCGTAGTCTAAAAGTGAATTACGTAAACGAAAAACTGTAAAAAGCCATCATAATCGTATAATAATTGCACTACATCCCTGAAACTCACTTTCTAAAGAATACCTGCATGTTTTGAACGAATCGCAATAAGTTTTCTCGAAGCTAAATAGCTCACACTTGGTAAATGATAATAATGGAAATAATCAATGAGAAAATTATATACAATAGAATTGACAGTTTTTGGCTGTTGATACAGTCAATTTTTTAAATATCCTTTCTACCTCAAATCTCAAAATTTGTAAACTGTAAATCCACGTCAGTATCGATGCAAATACTGGAAATTGCTCGATTATAATTAGCTGTTAATTCGGAACTTGACTAATTAATTAATAGCACGCCATACAGAAATGCATTGCCGTAACTAACGAGCACATTATGTGATTATGTAGGGACTATAGAGGATCATGCATATGTTAAAGGTAACAAATAGATTTATATCGCCAAAATTTGTGAAAAACATCACGTAATCAATTTTCAAGAATTTTTGGACCCCTCCTTCCCTCTTGGTGATACCTGAAGATATTTGAAATTACGCTCTTTCCCAACTCAAAAAAGAAAAAATGTTAAATGAGATTTTAATTTTTTTTTTAATTCAAGTAAAAAATGAACTTCCTTCCCTCCACGTGATATTTCATGATTTTTGGTCAAATTTCTCTCGCCTTTATAAGCCTCACGTAATTAATGGATGCCCCATTAAGAATTATTTTAAGCAAATATTTGAATGAGTTAAATAAAAAAGTGGTATTTTGGTAAATAAATAAACAAAAAGTATATTAATTTAGTTCAGCATAAAATAATTCTGATAAAGGATCGGGAATTTAATAGGTATGTATAAGTAAGCACAAAAATCCCATAAAAGTGACGTTAAATATATAATCAAGTAGGTACACAAAATTGGGTTAAAATTGTATTGAAGTAGATTTACTCCGAAATTTTTATTTTACACTACAAATAAATTATTTTGAGGAACTAAGAAAAAATAATAATTATTTTTAGATTTTTACGTATTTATTTTAATCTCGATATAAAATTGGGATTTTCATAATGACTAATTCAATCTGTCTACAGCATTTATTATCATGTTTGAGAGAGATAATTTTTGCATTTTGACCGCAAATTTCTTCCGTTTGATCGCAATTTATATAATTGGTTCGAGAATTGTTGCAATCGCTATATTTAATAAACGCAATAAAATGCAAGTGAAAATATTAAAAATTAGCATTGAATTATTAAACTTTAAAATGTTATATATGTATAATAATAGTAATAGTAATGTTATATATATATATATATATATATATATATATATTTAAGTTTAAAAATAAATTTACTTCTCTAATTACTGCCATGTCAAAATTATAATATGCCACAACACCGCCTTGTGGCTAACAAATAAATATAGTCGTATGGAAATTCACAATTTAATTAATTAATTAAAAAAGAAAACATGACCAAAGTCACGACGCACGCATAAGATAAAGGGGTGTTTTTATATTAATACGACTGTTTGAAATGAAATTTGTTATTCAAGACAAAAGACCAAACCCTATTTGTATGGTGCTTAAACTACACACTTATTATAATTAGAAAAAATTAATTTGGGTTATAATCACGTATAGAAAAAAAATCAGATTTATAAATTAATTAAATTAATTTTTATCATTTGACTCCGAATGTTAGATTCCAATTGGAATTGTACGAGAAAGCACAAATTATACGATAAAGTAAGTCTGAGTATTATATAAACTTCAAACAATCATTTATAAAGTATTAACGTTTCATAAGATCACAATAGTTGCAAAACTTTCGGTTTCAATTTAAATAAAAATTAGATATCTTTTTCATAATGAAGTTTGTTTAAAAAATATGTCATTTCTAATAGTATTTTTTAAATAAGGATTAAGCACAATCTTTGTCCTTTATTGATTTTTCCCAAAAAAGTGCCACTCGATCTACAACAACATGCGCGACGAAACCCAAGAAAAGATTAATTAACTGTTCTGTAGGGGTGTATATTTTTATAAATTCAAATCTAACATCAGATGGTCAGTTTGGAACGATGAACAGCACATTAATACCCCTTTAAAATCTACCCTCCAAGTTAGATGGACGCAATCAATTCCCAGTCGTGAGTCATCAGTACGTAAGCAAACTATATCGAGGACTATTTTAAGAACAAGGGGTAGGATTTGAATGACCGAATAATGTTGTTTGAGTTTTAAAATTTAAAAGTCACTGAAAGACATTTAATTGTTAAAATAATTGTGTAGATTCTTATACTGAAAGCTTTGTATCGCGTTTTCCTAACTTTATCATCGAGCTGATAAAACTATTGATTTTAATATCGCGAATACCGTGTCGCGTGTAACTCATATGTACATCATAAAGTCTTTTAAAACAAAAAGGGTAGATATATAAAGATAACCGTAAGATAACAAATATATATATATATATATATATATATATATATATCATAGAAATTATGGTTTCACGATCATATCAGAATTTTAACATGTACGCCAATATATCAATAATAAATTACATTCCCTGCACGAAATCTAAATAGCAATTTCTTTTATTTCTGTAGTTCCATATAAAAACAAAAACATTTCGACAAGTGGTTATACTTAAAATCGTTCTATTTCAATAATTAATGAACATTTATATCTCAGGTTCGACCCAATGGGGATTCCATAGTCCCCCCAGAAAATGACATATATTGAACATAATGCTAGTTTCTCAGAAAGATTTAAAAAAAAACATATAGAGCACATGCACATGTCGTGTCGATCAGAAGCCAAGATAAGACAAAGTGCTAGCAATTCAGTAAGTTTATATTCGTGACACCCGATATTAGAGAGAACTGTTTCATTGAATTATTGATAATATTTTTCATATACAAGTGTAACGCAAAAGAACCTGCAGGCATGCGATATAGCGATATACGGAAATTAGAATAAATGCTCGAAAATTATCTAAAAAGCTATCATATTTTTATTACTAAGGATATTAGAATTTTGTCTATATAATTTAGGTAAATTGGATTTCAAAATTTGTATTGAATATTCACGAATCTTCAATAACAATTTTGAATAATTAATAATATAATTAAAATCACTAACCTGAAGTTGGAGAACCATTTAACCAGTTGCGCTGTGTTGTTCTTGTTGAATTGGATATCTGGGAAGTACATCTTCAGGACAGCAGAACTTGGATACCGGACCCAGAAGAACATCAGCTTGGCTTTTCGCAGGTGCATTGGGGTTAATGTTGACGATTACACAGGAATCAAGGATATATACAGTTGAGATTGATTGCATAATTATAATTAAATTTCATAAAATATTTCAAAATGATAAATATGATAATAAAACATATTAGAAAGTAATTTGGAAAAGTGATTAATAATAAAAATATGCAAGTTTGTTTAAATTAATGTATCAAATTTTTTTATATAAAAAATAGTTGATATTAAATGTTTCTATTCGATAACTTAAGATCTAATGACTTTCATTATGAAAAGGATATTGTAGGTCGCACTCCATCGTATGAGATGTCCGCCGAGTTGCAGTCTGAGTTGCGATCGTTGGCCTCCATGGCAGCTCGGAGGTGCCCGTAGTCCGGTGAGCTGCCGTGGTGTGCTGCTGCGAGTAGTGCAGGATGAAGCATGGCGGGCGGGTGCGGCAGTGGCGGTGAATCGCGCGGTTCTCCCATTCCAGGCGGACTGTGGGGGCCCACGCCGCCCATGTGGTACATGTGCGGGCCGTGAGCGCCGAAGAACGGACTGTACGGGGAGAATACCTTGGATTCGTGCAGTGAAGGATTTGGTATCGCTACTGAAGTGGGTAACGACACCGGAATCATCGGCGGCGGTGGCGGAGGCGGGGGTGGGTTCTGTTGGTACGGTCGAGGTGACGGACAATCTGATGCTGCTCCGTTGCTTAAACCGTGTTCGGGCGAATCCTGCGCCAAAATCCTGCTCACTGTTCGCGGCGTGATGCGTGTGTCTGTAACCTTATGCCTTTTCTTTTTTGTCGTGACCACGAGACTCAGCGCCTCGTTCTGCTCTGGATTGGTCTCCATCGGCTCTGGTTTGCAAAACATATTGTTTTGCGACGCTCCGTGCGGGCTGACTCCGTTGTGTGCGTACATGGCCATCTGCATCTGCTGCTGTTGCTGCGATTGCTGCGGCGGCTTTGGGTGCTGGAAAGGACCTGCTACAACGGGAGAAGGACGCGCATGAGTCGGCTGATAACCTAAATGAGCCGGTGGATGCTCAGGCGGGCCGTGTTGCAGCGGCATGTAAGCATGCCCGTTCATACGCGGACCCATCATCGCATGACCGTTAATATTACTCAGGCCGTTCATTAGGCCAGGTGGTGCTGAATTATTGTTGTTACCTGGTTGATTGGGCTGCTGCGGCTGTGTCGCTTGGCTACCACGATCTGTCACTGGAGGAGGCCTTGCACGCGGGCTTTTGCGGTCGAGCAATTGCGAAGCCAATAGGAGATCCTTGTTCAGCTGTTCCGCTGCTGCTGCCGCTGCTTCGGAATGTTTTCCTAGATATCGTCGTTGGTGCACAAATCGCGTAACAACTGAATCCACAAGCGATGACAACGAGGCTGTGATTTCTGTTTTCAAAGCATCGGCTAGTCCCTCTAGATCTGAACCTGTAACTTGATTCATAGAAAGCGATACTGCTGCAGGTCGTGGCCTTTCGTTTGTGCTATCTTTACCCATTGACTGTGGCGATTGCTGTGATTGATTTAGAGTTTGACTCGACTGTGAATTACTTTGATGTGCGACTGGGCCGCTGTGATTGGGTATGTGCTGCGAATGATTCATATGCGGTGTCTGGTGCTGTTGTTGTTGCTGCTGCTGTTGATGTTGCTGTTGTTGTTGTTGATGATGTTGCTGATCTGCTGCAGCATGAGCAGCCATTGCTGCCTCCTTGGCCATTCTAGCTTCTTGCTCCATGAATAATTTTTGACTAACACCCAAATATACTGCTGCAGCATTGCTTATAGCGTGATGTGGATGTTGTACATGTGGGTGGCCCATTGCCAATCCGTGCGCTTCCGCGTGCATTTGCTGTTGCAATAAGGGATGTTGAGGTCCATTAAATGCTGCAGGCATACCGTGCGGATTTTGATGTCGCATTTGATGTGCGTGTGGATGAATTTTTGCCGCTGACATCATTTTACTCATCACTTGTGACATAATATTAGCTGGCGCCGGCGCCGTCTGTTGCACTGGTGGCGGTGATTGTGTCGTTTTAACGGATGGTGATGATATAGGTGTTCGTTTTTCTGTACATGTTTGACTCACTACATCTTGTTCAAGATCACTTGTAACTTCTTCCACTTCTTGAGTATCTGATTCGTGTTCCATTCGCGAGCACAATTGCACATATTTTTGTTGCATTTCAGCGAGTTGCTCCTGCATACTACGCAACTGTGATTTTAATGCATTTTTCTCAACACGTTTTTGTAACAACGTATGCGGTGTTTCTATTGTATCGTCATCGTCGTCGTCATCTTCTTCGTCTTCGATTAATAACTGCTGCATATTAATTCCCAATTGCGAATAATTGTCATGCTGTTGGGGATGATACAATTTACGTTTCTTACAACCATTCACTTGTTGCGGAGCAGGACTGCTGCGCATGCTCGACACTATATTTTCCACACGCGCACGTTTCATATCTAACGGTGCCGGTTGATCACTTTTATCGGGAGAACCGGGTTGTAAGTCTTTAACACGCGAATCTGTATTATTTGTATCCACTGTTTCCGGTTCGTTCTTGAGTGTTGGCAGTGGTGACGCTGGCAAAGAATGTTCCGAGTCCATTGGCGTCTCCTCAGACGGCGCAGCAATGTCTTCATCGACCACAACACTATTATCTGTCGTTAAAGAACCACCCTCCGCACGTCCGCTAACGCCGACCACTTCACTTATTTCACTATCCGCGGATACACACTGACCATCACCGTTGTGATGGTTATTATTATTATTATTCTTGATGCAATTATTGTTGTCGGGACCGGCTCGCAGTTCGCTCTCTAGCGCCATCAGCTCCTTCTTGCGGCCCTGCAGAATATCACGCAGCATGTGATGAGCCAATTCAGTAGCATGCGGAGATGGCGAACCGCCATCTTCAGATGAATGACGACCACCACCTACCTGATCCTGCGCGTCGCAGGCGCCCTCGTCACCAGGATGGCCCTGACGTCCGAGTAGCTCGTTCAACATTTTGGCTGGACCGTAGCCGGGACCAAACAACCCGAAGTGCTGTTGGTTCTGGCTGAAGATAGCCCCGTATATGCCTCCGCTCATGAAGGAAGGCCGTGAACTAAAATTCGGTATAGACGAGTAACTATTTCTTGGTTCTCCGGCGTCCACTCGCTGTCTGGTGCGTTTCGCCTTCTTCGATAGTTTATCTCCGTACAGGCCGAAACAGTCAGTATCCTCCTCCGATGACATCATAAGAACGGCCGCACGTTATTGGCCGACGGACCTCTCCGTCGGCGTGGTGGGAGACCCAGCGACAATAGTGCCTCTCGCTCCCTGCCACTGTACAGTTCACGCGGCTGACTCGCTCCTCGGTTCGCGCTCCTGGCTCGACGAAGCCTTACCTTCCCATCGCCGCCCGAACCTGCAAGGTGCAAGAAAAGCTTCAGTTAGAACGCTCGAACACGGACGAAGGTTAACGAAACGAAACGAAAGCTCGAACGCACGCACGCACACTACGATAAAAGCACAGCTTTCGTCAGCTGATACGCGCGATATAAATTATCGTCAAAGACGGTTACGTCTTGCAAGGAGCTCTTTAAATTTACTTCTACACGATTTAAAGGGCAAGCGGTCATGCTTCGCGATCGTAAGTAGTTAAAAAGACGGTTAGATTACGAACCATAACGCACTAATTATCTATGTTGACGGTTTAAAATTTAAAAGACCTCTTAAATAAACTTAATAAAAAATTCTTATAAAACATTTGTAACAATTTTCTTATCTTGTATTTAATAAAAAAAAATATTTTATAAGAAGTATTTAATAAACAAGCATAATAATTATCTCACTCACATAATTTTATTAAAACTTAAAATTATTGAAGCATGCAACAAATTGCCTATATTTTCTCTATTTTCAGTTATATCTTGGGAACCAAATAAGTTCATTTCGCGTAAAAACCGCTATAAAATTATATGAACTCTCTCACGACACAAAGGGGCATGGTTATGTAAAAAAAATACATTATCTGTTCATAATTAGGCACCCTCGTAATAAGAGCGCTGAACAATACCGATATGAAATTGGCTATTTCCTTATATTGAAAGCAGGTAAATGAATACTTACACAAAGTTTCTAAAACCTCAACTAGATAATTGATAAATAAATTTATATAAAAAATATATAAAAATTCATGTAAAATTTCAGAATATATTCATTTAATAACGTTTCAAATTAGTGAAGATTGAGTGACTTCAGAAACTCTCAATTTAAAAATTATGGTATTCAATCATTATAAAATATAATTTATAATATTTTTGATCATATGTAAAAAATATCTTTTCTAAATAGTTTGCAGTAATATTTCAAATAGACCTGTTAAATTTCTCACTAATAGGATTAAGAATATTTATAATACCTGCATTATGAATGAAGGAAAAGCAAGTAAGTAAGTGAATGATTAATTTCCATATACCTAATTTGTTTAGAAATAATGATAATAAGCAGAGTGCCTATATAAAAATAAAATAAAAAAATATTAGAAAAATGGATTAGAAAAAGAGTGAACGCAAAATTATATATACGTATAATTGAATAATTAGATTAATTATACGAAATGATGATATGACATACAATGACATAAATAAATATATAATATTTAAATATATTTTGTATGATCTCTTATCCCCGACTGGGATATACAAAATATGTATTTCAAAATTTAAAGAAAATATCGAAAATAAAAAATGCTCTTTGTATTTCTTGAACATCTAAGATAGAACTATAATTTGAAACAAGTTTGGATATTAAACTTTTAGAACTATTTGTGGTTTATGTCTCAACATACTGTTTCACTGTGGGGTTGACGTCGTTTCCGATTCCTTTTTGTTTTATCTCCCCCGCAATTGTAATAGTAAGTAGTAACAGCCAACAGGTAAAATTATTATCTGCGGCCTTTATCGGCCAAAACGAACATATTGTTCAGTCGTATGTGAAGCCCCGAACCCGGCCAAGAGACATATGCTACCTCGCGAACGAACACATATACCTATGCAGACGATATTTTATATCGGTAAGGTACGATATACACCATCTGTCGAATGGAATATTGCTTATGGTATCAAAAAGGAAAAATAATACACAAACGTAATTTGTAGTAAGTGCAATCAGTCGCTTGGAACTGTATTTAAATGGCATAATATCTAGCTGGTAAGATAAAGAATATTTGCGTGAGAAACTGTAGCATGTGGTGGTAGAAATAGTAGAGTTCAAAACTTGCTTGAAGTTTTAATTATTTTAAATATTTTTATAATTATGACTATTAAATGTTTAATCTATTAAATTTAATGTATTTTTTTTGAAAAAGTTCATAATTTTTAATTTTACTTTTGTGAAATTAAAAAAAAAAAAAAATTTTATAAATTAGGGGTAACAGTTCTTCAGATAGTCTTGAATGCAAAAAACGTTTATTTTAAGTTTTTAATTATTTTAATATTGAATAATAATTATTTTTACCTTCGAATATTCTTTTGTATATAATTGCTCACTAATCATTACATTACATATACACATAAAAATTGTAATTGATGATACCTCAAGCAATAGATGTTTACTCTTGCAAGAACATTAATAGTATGAAAATTCTAAATATATTTTCCTAACATTTATAGTAATATATAAATGCTTATAAAATTGTTGAAAAATAATTAATTAATTATAAATCATTTTATACTAGTTTAAAAAAAATAGAGTAGTGCCTAACTACTGCTTTTGCAATATTATATATTTTTTCAATAAAATATAATATCGAGTTAGTATCAATAATAAATCATTAATAATAATAATTTTAAACATAAATATTTTAAAACGCATAAGAAAAAATGATATTTTTCTATTTATTTTCAAGATTTATTCTCTTATACTTTCTATACGACTGCAAAATATACATATAAAACCATTAGATCTATTTACCATAATTGGTTTAGTAATTTAATTTTACATTGCTACTTTTTTTACAAATTATATGCTAGTGAAAGGTTCGTTTTATAAAAATATGATATATTAAATACTAACCAATCACATATTAGAAATTAATTGAAATTAGAAATTAATTGATATAAGAAACGAATCCTGTTATTCTAATTACATTTTTAATAAATATGATTCAATTTATAATTTTATAGAAAAATGTAATATATGTTCATGATGTATATTTTATATGAGGTTATAAATAAATAAATAAATAAATAAATAATACCAAATGCATTTTTTATCTATAAATATGATAAAAACTGTGTTTTTCTTTATGAAATTATAATAAAAAACATTGTTTTTCTATCTATGTAATAATGCATACAAAACATAGACACTTCATAAACATTTCGTGATTAAGTAGCATTAAGATTGTTCGTATAAGTAATGTATGAAGTGTCATCTGTAAAAATATGTATATGGTGAAGAAAAAAATTCAAAGAATTACCAACAAGTAGCTATGAAGTAGTCAGTCATTAGGAACGATTCTATATTGTCTACTTGACTCAAGAGATAAAGAAATTTACGTGAGAAAATAAAGCATGTGTTAGTATAAAAAATAACAAAAAATAATACTATGTATTTATTTCATTCACTTATTATGTAGATCTCGAACTTTAGTTTTAAATAAATGCAAATCAAAAGTCCAATAAGGTTTTATTATCAATTACTATAATAACTAAATACGTTGACATTCCACCTCCCAAGATAAATAACTTTTTATATACCAATAAAAAATATACTTTTGATATTCAAATATTCGAATGAAAGCAACAACCCGTTGAAAGCTTTCATTCATTCATCTTGCTTACGACATTTAAGTGAACTGAATAAATAAACAAGCACAAAAGAAATATAATCACAACCTTGCAGGTAAAAACGGCTAAGTCGAAAATCGTAGGGTTAAGGTTAAGCCAAGGACTGTGGTAAGTAATTTGAAACTGAAACTTAAATATTATTAGCAATGTATACAAAATTTAATTATGTAAAAGTATTTGTATATTATTTTAATGTTAATAAAGTACTAAAAATATTAGATGTCATGAACTTGATATTAAAAATTATTTCTACTATCGACTTGGCAAAAATCTCATCATTGTTCCTTACTCGTGCAAAAGACCCTCGGTGTTTCTATTCTCCAAGACGAGTAAAGCACTGTTTTCAGCCGAACTACCTGTGTGAGAACCCCGAACATATTTATATTATAAATGTCTCAACGGTCTTTTCCCATAAGGAGAGAGCACTAACTCAATGTACACAAAAATCGTCCAGGTGAGACGTCTTCTTCGTGGCCCCCGAGAAACAAAGTCATTTCGAACGCGCATCGGGGTTATTTTGCTTTTGAAAATATTGTTTCTTCTTTGTTGAAGATGATAGAGATTAAGCACAGTTTTGGTAACAAGTCGAACTTTGGGAAAAATATTGAGACTAAGTCGATAAAATAAAATTGAATTTTATAGCTTTACCTTTCTACTAATGCATACTTTTTAAGATAAAATTTTATGTTAAAATTCTTATGATTTTCAGTATTAAGAAATATATAATTTTTAAGCTAGATATTGTCAAAATTTATTGGAAATCCAATTTTAAGTAATTTATAAAAAAAATTGATAAGCGCAAATAAAACTAATAATGAGCATTTTACATAAGATCTGGTGCAAATTTCGGAGCAAATAATCTCATCAATGAAAATATAGTGAATTGTATCATGAAAACATTTGTAAATATAATATAATTTTCGACTTTATTTATTTAAAATATTGTAATAATTTTTTATTTTTTTTCCTTTATTATTTGTTTAAAAAGATTATCAATTTTATACGTTCTCTATAAAGTCAACTATCTCAAATGTGTTTATAATTTTCAAATGGCAATTTACTATATTACAACAAAGTGTATATATTAAATCAAACCTATTAAAAGTGTAGCAAATAGTAATTTTGTGAATAAGAACATTCTATACTATTTTTTGCATTATCATTAATATCATCATCAGAAGCATGGAAATGTTACAAATATTATTAAAAAAATCCGAAACATTGAATAAAATGATATAATAATATAAATGTAGAGATTTGTAAATATAATCTAATTTTCAGCTAATTTTAAATATTGTAATAATTTTTTAACGCATTCTTTACTATTTTGTTTAAAAAGATTATTGATTTCTCTAAGACAACTATCTCAAAATTATTTATAATTTTCAAATCACAAACTACTATATCATAGCAAAGTGTATATAACAAATCAAACCTATTAAAAGTGTAAAAAATAACTTTATAAATAAAAACATTCTACACTATTTTTTATCATCAATATCATCATCAGAAGCATGGCAATTTTACAAATATAATTTGAGTAAAGAATTTTTAACTAAAATATTGAATGAAA